TTCTTTAACACAACATTGGGGGGGGGGGCTTTTTTTTTATACTTTACTCATTTTGGTCTAGAGATTAAAATAAGGAAAAAATACCTGATCCTCAATCCTGTGGCAGTGAGTGATCACCACTCTCCCAATCCAGTCAGGCGGTGGAATGTCCCTTGGGATCCTCAAATCTAACACAGATGCATTCAATGTGATGATGTCACAGGCTCTTAGACGACAGAAGCCCGGGGGAGAAGATGCTGCAGGGACTGGTCTAGCAGCCAAGTGTGACCCAGGATCAGGTGAGAATATTTTCTTCAGTTCAGCCCCTACAGCAACACAAGCAGTTAACCCTTGCAGTGCATGGGTAGCCCCACTGAAAGGGTTCATTGTTTTTCATTTCCTAGCGTTCTTTACATAATTACATTTTTTGGTTTGTAAAGTTTGTTTTACAGTTGCCTTTTTTCCAGCTGTCCAGACTTTGTACTTGAGGGCAGACTTCATACGAGAAATATCGGATAAAAGGTGATCCGCCGTTCCAAGGAAATTCTCAACTAGTTTTACTTTCGTTCCGAAGAAACTACAAGTCCCGCCAGCGCTTGTGCCTCAGGATCCTCCTCGTGAAGGCGGCGCCATTTTCAACGTAGGAGGGTGGAGACAGCGGGAGTGTTCGCGAGTGGCGGGGGACCTGGCAGAGCTCGGTCGGCTCCTGGGTAAGAGCATACAAGCGGCATCTCACCCCTTTCTTCTTTAATACTCAGGTGGGGGCTGCAGTGGCCGCCATGTGCAGTTCAGTCATCAGCTCTAGTTGTGTGTTCGGTTCTGTCAGTTCCATGACTTAGCTGAAAAGCATGGCGGAGCCTCGGGCCTCGTGTGGAGCATGTTGAACTCCGGGACCGGGCATCGCTGTTGGTGTTCTGGACCGGGGTCAGGGATGTCTTGTATGAACTAGATCTGTTCTGTTTGGGTTAAAGAAAGCATTGTGACTGGGAAGAAGTTAGAACCGTGCGCAGTCATAGGAAGGGACGTCATTTTTTAACTTGAAGCCCACGAAGAGGCGGTTACAGTCCTCACACTAGAAGCACTGATTTGAAATTGTATTTCGGAAACGAGGGCTATGGGGATCTATTTTAGGCCTGAGTGGAATGTGAGAGCTCTTCAGACTTCCTGCCAAATGTATCCATACAGTGATTCTATGAGAGAGGCTGTTGTGTGCTTCATGTATGCTCTACATAGAGTAACTTCTACATCTGGTGGCTAGCTTGCTGAATACAGGGGCATCAATGTCCACAGAACAATAGTTTAGTTTTTATGTTTTGTTCAAGAATAAATACATATGAATACTTTCTGCCCCCCTTCCCTGACCTCAGAGTCCACCCTCAGCCCCCCGAATGTGTACTTACCGAGTACCAGTTCCCGAGGCCTCCCACGTTTTGTTTTTTACATCCAGCACCGAACCCGCTTATTGTTGGCCTTACCTGTGCAGTAGAGCAACATAGACCCCTTTTGGGGTCTCCTACCCGTCTCCAGGCTGGAAGACAAATACAATAGACTTCTATGGGGTTCTGCTGTGCAGGTGCAGCCAGCAGAGAGAGTACTTTGACGCTGGATGTTGGGAAGTACAGTTCAGACGGGGAAGGTGGGGTCAGGGAAGGCTGGCAGAAAGGAATTGTACTTTTTCTGTAAGTTCACTTATTCTTTAACACACTGATGTCTTACTGTGTAATACTGCAAGGAATGGTAACCTGCGCAGTATGTGCGTTGTTGCCATTCATTTTTAATTAGGGTTGCACAGATACCAAGTACAGTACTCTGTACAAGTACGAGTACATGTACCGATACTTTTGAGCTCCAAGACTACACTAGAGAAAAATTAGGAGGCAGCTGTCATTTGTAAGGAGCACACAGAGCTCCTGGGATTTGTACATATCTGTTTTAATGTACGATTTTGTTTTTATAAATGGATGCACAGATACCAATTTTGCAAGTACTGGTACTTGCCGGGTACTTACAAGTACGAGTACTGATACATTTTTGTTTAATGTGACAGTTTTCCTACAACAATACAGACTAATGATTTCAGGACAGTGGTGGAGTGCCAGAGCCATGTCCCAGCTGCAACCCTGGTAGTTCTCATGAAAATGCCAAGTATCTGCACTGGTACTCGAAAAGTATCTGTGCATCCCTATTTTACTGTTGCAGTAGCAGTCAACCCACCTGCACTGCAGCCCACTGCAACACACATGCTTTGTGGTGTGCTGCATTTAGAGAAGTAAGGCCCCTTTCACACGGCCTGATCAGGAGGGGATTCATGCACTGATCCCCTCCTGATCAGAGCAGTACATAGCAGATGTCACTGCTGTGACAAACTGCAGGGTCACAGATTTTTTCCTCCACCTTGCGATGGAGTAAAGAACTGAAACTCCCGGACCCCAAGTCAGTCTATGGGGAATCGGATGTGAGCGGACATGTGTCCGTTAACTAGGGCTCCAACCAACTGATCGATTATGAGAATAGTTGTCAACTATTCTCATAATCGATTAGTTGGTTGGATCCACACTCCTCCATGCTAGGAGGAGGGCACAGCAAGCAGTAGGCGGGTGCAATAGCCACAAAGAGCAAATAAGTAGCTCTACAACCAGGAGGGAAGTCCTACGTTAGCGTTACGGACAGTGAGACAGCAGAATAATGTCATGGATGAAGAGTTACTCACTTCCCTCCTGGTTGTAGTGCTCCTTATTTGTCGCTTTATTACGCAGGACTCATCATCCTGGTCAAGGAGACAGCACACCTATCCCACACACACATAATTATCTTCAACTACCAGTGGTGCGCCTAAACAATTTTTTCCGGTTTTGCTTTGGGTGCAATAGCCAGCCTGCTATTGGCTATTGCAATTTGAAATGGCTAATAGCGGGCTGGCTATTGCACTAGCCCACTACCTGCTACATTTACATTCGGCTGCCATCTGTGGAAATTTGCAACTGTTAGCTGTCATTCCCTGGCTTAAGCTATTCAAGCGCCATGTGCTTACACTCTTAAACAAAATATATATAAAAGGTGGGAAAAAAGTATTTTTTTGGTTGCGACCTGACAAATTCTTCTGCAGGAGGTGCGTTTGCAAAAAATTGTGCATGAAGTTTTATTCTGAAGTAAACTTTGTTTGTAACCCTGCATTTGTGTATTTCATTTGAAATTAAGGATGGTATTTAATTTTTTCTACCAGATTAATGGAAAAAATAACGATGATGAAAATAATCATTAGTTGCAGCCCTACGGTTTACACCAGTATACCCCTGATACGGCCTGAGTCGGGGGTAACCGGCTGTAAACGCTTGTCTGTTTACACATGTCTGCCCATAGATTCACATTGAGCCTCCGATCGGGTCTGCCTTAAAAAAGTGACAGCTGGATGCAATCGGACTGCCTGAGGGAAAGCGCCTATTTTATTGTGTAAAATTCTGAATGACATTGCTCTAAAATATGTCACCATGGATTTTCTGGAATTTGGTGTGACCAAGTGGGGAGAGGGTTTTTGTTGTCCTTATTACGGTGCTGGATCTGGTAATTGGAGACCTTATTTAGCTCCACATGCAGTTTTGCCGCAACAGATAACGTCTACTAGTAATCCCGTTCGGCAGTGATCTCTCGATCATGTTAAAAACCAGCCGGAAATCGTACGATTCTCGGCTGGTTTTCTAACATGCTCGATATACAAAAGTCGTGCAACCGTACATTAGAAACGGTTGCACGCCTCCCATACACTGCACGATTCTCGTTAAAGAAGCACTCCGGGCACAATAAAACGTAATCCATTGCAGTGGAGCTAGTACTGCACTTCAAGGGCTAATTTCTCATTTTAGTTTAGGGCGTAAAATAAAAAAAAAGATAAAACCTCAGTCCCGCTTGGCTGCTAGAGCCACCCTGCAGCCTCTCTCCAGTAATTTACTGCCATAGTGCTGAATTCCTGCAGTGCCAGACGTATAGCGCTGTCTCTAGTATCCAGCTTCAGTCGAGGTGTGATTTGTACTGTAATCAGCAGCCATCTTTACCTAGTATATTTATTACTCGAATGAACTTAAAGTGACATTAAACTCAGGGGAGTTTAAACCTTAAAGTACCTTAACCATTAACAAAAGTTATTTTGTGTATCATTCGGCTGTAGATCCTCAAATCATCTGAATTGGTGCCAACACTGTCCTTCCTTCTGGAGGGTGGCTACTTTTGTGTGTTGTAAAGTAGCCACCGCTCCAAGCTGCCTGCCATGATAGACTACAATCTCCATACAAATGGGTAAACTAAATTTGAGCTTGTAGTCCATCACAGGAGCAAGTTCAAGCGGTAGCTACTTTACAACACACAGGAACCATGGGGAGTAAAAGTAACCACCCTCCAGAAGAAAGGACAGTGTCAGCATGGCTTCAGAGATGATTTGAGGATCTACTGCTTAGTGATATACAAATAAGATACATCTGTGTTAACCACTTGATGTCCGTGGTGTTAAACCCTCTTCCTGTCCAAGCTATTTTACTGTATTCAGCGCTGCGGTACTTTGACATTTGTTCAGTCATGCAACGCTGTACTGAAATTAATTTTATACCATTTTTTGGGGACAGACAGAGCTTTCTTTTGGTGGTTTTTATTTTGTACTATATTAAAGGAGAACTATGAGATGAGTGATTTCCACTCACCTCATAGTTCTAAGCCGACCTGTGACAATGAGACTGTCACAGGTCGGCTCAGTAGATCGGGAGGTGAGGGAACACATACCGGGTTCCCTCACCTCGATCCTGTCACGGCTCTCTGCTGTGACAGGGGGAGGGGCTGGATTCCCCTCTCCCCGCTCCGATCTGCCAGCGCTGACTGGTGGAACGGAGGGGGAGGGGGTGGGTACAGCTGGCTCTGCCTCTAGGTAGGCAGAGCCAGCTGTCACGCATCTGGGCGGATCCCCTCTTCCCCTCTACAGGTGCGGCGTCTGTAGCTCGCGGTATACTGAGCTTAGGGTAACGGGAGGACGCTAGTTTGTGTCCTCCCGTTACCCTAAGGAGAACTATGGGGAAAAACACTGACCCCATAGTTCTCCTTTAAGGAAAAATGACCCAAACTTTAAAAAAAAAAAAACATTTCCCCTATATTAAATTATAAAACATTTATATTTACACAATTTTTTGGTGCAATATAAAAGCGAGGTCACGTGTAAAAAGACACCAAGCCTTAAAATTGCACACGCGAAACCTCCAAAAAAAGTACAATACCCAAAATTGGCCATAGGGGACACTTGATTGATAGCCCTGAAATGATTGCTCTCACTCTGACGTTGGCGGCAATATGTAACATGTGTAGCACAATTGTCGTTTTCGCGCGCTGGCGCATCAAACGCGTATTTACCTTTATGTGCGTAAACGTGGGGGACAAAAAAAAATTATATTTTTTTATACTGAATGTTATTGCTACAGAGCCGCCAATCGTTTGTATGGGCAACAGCCGGTAACGGCTGTAAAGAACGGACAAGGGCAAGAAATGCCCTTGTGAGTCTGCCGTCCGTTTGTTTTTTCACAACGGGCGGACGGCAAGAGCTTAATAGTTAAGGTACTTAAGTACGTTTTTAAGATTTAACACCTGAGTTTAGTGTCACTTTAAATTGTGCTGTAGTTGATGATTGTGAAAAACTTGAAGTTTAAAACTGAAGGGGAGAAAAAAAATATAGTATTTG